GAGAGAGAGAGAGAGAGAGAGAGAGAGAGAGAGAGAGAGAGAGAGAGAGAGATAAAGCTCGCTCATTAAATACTGCAGACAGTACGCGCGGAAACTTCTGTGACCGTGAGACAATCCTGCTGAGCTCTCCTCGACCAAACATCAGAAATCAAAACAGTCGCCGCCCGGACGACACCCGGCACCCAAACCTTATCCCTTGTCACCCTCACTCACGGCTCGCAAAACTTCCTAAGATGATAACAGGCTCCCCCGCACGTCCCCCGCCTCCCCTCCGCTGGCCCCAAATATGCCTTATTTGGCTTCGTATTCTGCAAATATAATGTTGACAGTGGCAGGTTTAGCTAATGTCACTGTGAAACTCAACGTTTCATAGCCGACATACTGCAGAGGGGGTGTCTGTGTTCTCAGCTGGACCGCTGGTTTCATACTGTGCCGCATGGCAGGTGTGCGGGCGGGCTTGCCTACCGACACCGACACACGGCCCCCGTTGCGGGTCTGCTACCCGCAGGCAGGCGGTACGGTACAGCGCAGAACCAGAAAGGAAATCCGGCCGCGCAACACCCACCACCCTGCTGTATTACAACTAAACGAATACAGGGTAAACAAACAGTGTTCCACGGTATAAGCCCCCTGCACGAGGAGACAAAGCGAACGGCAAAGGCGCCAAGACGAAGCGGCCAATAGCGCGCGTTATCGAAAGAATTTCGGCCGGATGTCAACACATTTAACTTGACGCATCGATCGTGACAAAAAAATAAAAATAAATAATATTGTGCGTGGGCGTCATCACAACACTTTTGCCGTCACTTTTTGATTTCGCGGCCATCCGCTAATGATAGGACAGCCTTCTTATTTCCACACTCTAAGCAGCATGGGACGAGGATGGACGCTAATCCCCTTTAATCCGGGACTCCCACAGCAACAGCGGCAAAGAGGCAGACGATAGTTTGTCTCGTTTCGTGTCATACTTTAAATGTAAAGTTAGCAACCAACCGTTATTTTGAAGGAAAGAAAACATTTGCACTGCCGTACCCATAACGAAGCGAAAAAGGATTTTCTCTGCAGAGTTTTGGCACATGCCAATCAAACTACTACAACTGCTATAACAACTACCCCGGTATAGCGCCAAACGCATTGGATGCGCCACGCTGCTGCGCTTAGAAATAATGCGCTTTAAAGGTGACACATGGGTGACGCTCTTTAAGTGCATCGCAAAGCAAGCTCATTTCGTGCGCATTATCCGCGCATTTAATGTTTTACCCCCTCGCCATGTGTCACATTTTCTGTGCATTTCTACGCTGCACGTTTGGCGCTACTTTGGGATGGGGTAGAGGAGTCACTTCCACAGTAACCCCCGTCTCTACTCACCCGGCGAGGTTAGTCCAGTGGTGGTGGCGGTGGTGCGGGGTGCGGCTGTCTGCTGATGGTCGTCGTGGTCCGTCTTGAAGGCGTTGTCTCGCTGCCGCTACCCGGGCCACTCTGGCGGCGGCTCTGAGGCGCGGGAGGGGCGACGCATCCCGACGGGCGCCCTCCACCGTATCTCTGGGGTCGAAGTCCGCCCCCAGGGCTGGCTGTATACCCACTGACAAATCGAAATCCACACGATATACGATAATCGATGTCAAAAACGATATCGATTTCGATTATTTTGGGATCATTTCAGGATCGATGCGGCGTACGCGCGACAACTTCTGTCCGATCTCGATGACTGTCTGTTATCGTTTGGATATCACAATAATTTTTCACAGGGGCTGCGGCCCGGGTGACCAGGGAACTCCCACGGCCCGCTTTTACCGCGAGTCGAACCTCGGTCCCAGCCGAGTCTCGTATCGCCTCTCGACGCAGTGGGCAACACCAAGCATGGTAACTTTGTAGCCGGAGACAAGTATTTCATTCGAACCTACGACCTTCGTATCGTATATCTCCAGCGCCTCACGAGCGCGACTAAGACGCAACGACGCAGGAGCCCGCGGGCGAAGCTCGCGGTCCGCGGATCCTGCCGCGGGGGTTGCTCGCGGCCCGCGGTTGCCGTCAGCTACCGCGAGCTACCCTCGCGGACCCTCGATTTACCCCCGCAGACTCGCAGGAACCCCCGGGAAACCGCGAACAACCCCTTTGTAACGCCCCAGGGCGGTGGCTGCAACAACAGTGGCGGAGCGACGCGCTGGCGCTTGGAGCCGCTCCCCAGCGCCTGGTGGGTATGCAGTCCCGGATGGAGCCTTGCGGGCCGGGTTGCATAGTACAAAAGTGTGCGGGGTTAATCAGCCACCTTGTACTTATTTCCATGCGGGATGCCAGACAAAAATACAAATATAAAAATGGGGGAGTACTTTCCTCATCCCACCGCAGTAGTTAGCGAACTGTGGTCACTGTTCCGAACAGCCGCTCCCAACCGCAGTGGTCAGAACATACTCCCGGGGTTTGTGAGACGGTTGAGGCGTACGTTGGTTAAACTGTACTGACCCACCACAGGTCATGGAGCCCTTTTCAGCCAGTTTCTAGGTCTTATTATCCACCCCGCTACCACAGCGAGGTGGCAGGCACCGGGGCGCGAACCCCGGCCCAGAGCCGACACTTTCTGACACCTATGACGCAGTGCCACCAACAATGGTAACCACTACGCCATCGGGACACCACGAGAAGGGTGCGGTGAAATGACGGGTTTGAAGTCCATTCGAAATTCGGTGGCCTGAAAAAATTTCAGACCGTCATAGAGACGAGGCACAAGCTGACGTTCCAGGGGAAGAGTCATTGTACGTTGTCGTTTTTTTGTTTTTGTTTTTGACTGGGGGACTTGAGCTTTATCAGCTTAAGGATCTTAACATCTTAACATGTTAACATATTAACAAGTGCATTTTGCATTAAATTTGGTAGTGTGACTATGGTTTTACATTTGAATGTCTCTTATATTCGCTAAAATGCCGACCAAAACATTCGGGATCGCTACAACGACCGACAGAATCATGATTCATAGTTTCCTTGAAAGTTGTGTTAAGATCCAACGAAACCGCGGATCTCTGCTATCCATCGAACTGAAGCGATGGCAAATCTTTCTTAATGTTCCGGTCGGCACTTTTTACCAATTTAAACACATTCTAAACAAACATTCATAACTAAAAAATCATTGCCATAGTGCTAAATATAATGAAAATGCATCTGTTAAGATCCTTAAACTGATAAAGCCCGATGACAACCTGCAGACGATGCACGGCAGCAGAAGCTCTACTTCCGCAGCGCGGAGCCGGAAGTGGAGCTTAGCGGTGGTGGTCAGTCAGTCAGTGCACAGCCAGTTCACAGTTCACTCGCTGTTATCGTTTGGTTCTTCGAGCCCGGAGCTCCGTCGCGGGCCGCGTCGCGCCCTGCCCTACAACCCGATGTGTTGTACATTTTGCTAGTCCGTCTCGTCGAAGTGTTGGTCGCGTTAACCGCGTTAGCTTCCTCGCGTCCGCTGCCGTCACATAACCTCCACTCGAACTCAACGTGTCCGTCCGTCCGTCCGTCTGTCCGCCCCCCGCCCTGCGCGGCCCTCTTGACCTACGCGTGTGTTTTTTTTTCTCTCCCCCCTTTCACCTCAGAGACTGGTATCTGGCTCTGGGATATGAACAAGGGAGGTTAAGCGAGGGTTTTGAATCTATGTTGAATGAACGAGAGTTAAAGTGATCGCCGAGATGCGACCCCGCGTGGCCGATGTGATTGTTTTGTTGCGCTTGGCGAGGGCAGTCGACTGGCACCCCGCCTTCGTCCTTTGTAGTGAACACCGTGGAAGCCTTGTCTGATTGCCTTGGCGCCGCCGGTCCGTATCTAGGCATAACCTACACTTTGAGCCCATTTGGCTGGGCGGGGATCCTTCCGTGTCCCTATAGCGCCCTCAGTAATACGCTTCAGTGCCGACTCGATGGTTCGCGAGTAAGTCTTGTGGGCTTTGCCGTCCCATGCTACTCCAGAAGCATTCTTCTGCTCGGCCCCTTCAGTCCCCCCCCCCTCACCGCCACCAGCAAGAAAGTGTCCGAGGCGTATGGTCATTCCCTCCGGCCGTCGGCGCCCCAAGTCGACTGCCACCCCCACTACAAGGGCGCGCGCTGAGCACGGGGCCCGCTGCAGCCTGCGGTGGCATGGTAGCAGCTCGTGCCGCTGCAGATGGTGAGTAGTGTCGACGTTCGTTAGTGTGGAGCTCCTGCAAAATGGTCTTCTTGTTTGGCCGCCCAGCATGCACGGTCGCGCTCTGCCAGCTCAGACTGGCGGGGCGGCAGGTGTGTTGGAAGAGAACCGCGTTTTTACAGAGCTCTTCTTCCCAGCTAAGATTGGCGCTATCCCTGTTTACTGAGAGCCCAGCCCACCATGGCATTCTTTTCAGCTTTGAAGCCTATTTGGCACTTATCTTCTAATGGGGGATTCCATCCTTTGTATTGGCACAGAGAGATCCAGGCAGGGGTATTTTTTACACAGTGAAGTGAGCGGTATTTGCAGATAGGCATGGGTAGGAATTTAAAACAGTATGGTGAACGTACGAAAAACAGAAATGCTAACAATTTGGCATATCCTATGAGCCGACAACTTCCAATAGGGTATT